CCCCTACTCGCAGCCCCGTCAAGCCCCATCTCCCCCTGCTGAACGCCCTCGCGCCCTCGCGCCCAAGAAATACAAAAAAGTCGTCAGCTTGGACTGCACGGTCCACACGATCATCATCCCTGCTCACCTACCCCCCCGGCCCCATTGCCATCCCTTCAACACATCAACTTATAATTGTCTCCATCGCCATTTTTTGCATAAACTTTCCCCGCTGCGCCAGTTCGAATCTGTTGGCATTTTGGGCTTGGGATTTTCCTTATCAATCTCCTATCTCCCTCTCCAAAATTCCGCTGGCCGGTTTGCTCCTTTGGGATTGTCCTCGTGCTTCGCTTTCCTCCGATTTTCCCGGGACAATACTAATCCACTCTCGGTCTTGATCTCCACCACGCAAGGTACCAAGTATTTACCTCAGCCTCGCTGTCACGTCAGCCTTCCGCTTGCCAGACAAGACAAGACCATTGTGTGTCCAGCTATTGTCGCCCAGACAATACCAACCCACGACCACCCTGGGCCTTGGACAATACGTTCAAACCTACAATACCTTAAGCTTTCTCTCAGAGTATTATTTTATCTCTCTTACTCCATCTTGGGTTGGAATTTATTTCTTCCTTCGTTCAACATCATCTGGTCATACAATCACACATCGACTTCGAAAAGAATCTTAATCATGTCTTCGTATTCACGAGCATTGAACGAGGCTGCCCTCGAAAACTTCATCTACCTGCCAGTCAGCAGTCAGATGATCAATTACCTGGCCACCAAAGCATCAGAGGTCATCCAGTGTGAAGCAACTTCCGCAAAGTCAAGTCGCTTACCACCATCACCTCCCCAGACTCCTCCACAAAATGTTGCCTCCGAATCATCACCCGATCTTCCTTCGTTGGAGCGATTCATTACTTCATTAGTACGAATGTCAAATGTTCAAGTACCAACACTGATGACTACCCTCGTCTACCTCGAAAGACTGAAGAAGAAGTTACCTCCTGTTGCCAAAGGTTTGAAATGTACAGTACACCGCATCTTCCTCGCAGCTCTCATCCTCTCAGCAAAATTCCTCAATGATTCCTCACCAAAGAACAAGCACTGGGCCGAGTATTCAAATGTACGAGGATACGAACCATTTGGATTCTCGAGAACCGAAGTCAACCTGATGGAAAAGCAACTTCTCTTCCTCCTGGACTGGGATCTCAACATCAGCGAAGACGATCTCTACCTGCATCTCGATCCCTTCCTCGCACCAATTCGATGTGAAATCCAACACCAAGAGGATCGAGCCCGAGCCAAGGAACGTCGCAAGCGAGCTCTACGAGAACAACAACTCCAGGAAGCCGAAGCAGCAAGACAATATCAGGCCAACCTAGCTGCTGCCCAATACTGGATGCCAGAGTACGATGAGAAGAACTCGCTCGTCTACCAAGGCCAATACGTCGATCCAACCGGCTCCATCATCCGAACCACACGATACGATTCTACACCTTCTACCTCCGACGTCCCAGACCTTGCACGTTCCGAAACCGCAGACCCATACTCCTCTTCCTCATCCTCTTCAGGATCCTCATACCGATCTAACAACAACTCCCGAGCTGGAACTCCCAATTCGAGTGTGGGCAGTTACTCTATTGAAGATTTGGCACCTTCTTGTGATGGCCTTCCAAGACCTTTCAACACCAGCCCTTCACATTATCAACATGTCGTTCGAGACACTGTTCATGTACATATCGCCGACCAACACATTGGTGTCGTACCTGGAAAACACTCCATGCTACCCTATGAGATTGAGCGGGAGATGTACGATGACAAGCCAGCCAAGAAGGCGAGGAAGAGTGGCAACATCTTCTCGAGATTCTTGGGTGGAAGAGAGTCTCAATACGTCTAAATCCACTCATCTCATGGGCGCGAAAATCAAAAGACGAATTTCATTCATCTAATGGGAAGGGGGCATGGGGACAGGAAAGGAAATGAAATGAAATGAACCGGACTGGACTGGTTTTGGGGGCAAATATAGAGATATGATACCTCTTTTCTTTTGTCCCTGGATGTGGGATATTTTGTCAGGGTACTTTATATTTTGCATGGTATATGCATGGCATCGCATGGCGTTGGGGATTTGAGCATTATATCACCTATTTTCCTTTTTATTGTATTTCCTTTGTTTTCTTTTTGTTTTCTTTTTTCGATGGAGTTCATGCGGTCGGTATATTTGGGCTTAATACTCAAGGGTTGAGGAAGGGGAGAGGAGATGAGAGGACCGGGTGTTCGTTCTCATCGCTGGATATGATGAGATATGGCATGGGATGGGATGGTTGAGGGTGTACTACAAAGTACTGACTGACTTACCACACCTATACCCTAGATAAGATAGATAGTATAGTACCTTCCGATCCTTCGATCTTTCGATTGAATGGAATGGTAATAAGAAAGAAAGAAAGAAAGAAAGAAAAAGAGACCTTTATAATCACACATTCCATCCGTTCCTCTCCTCTCCTCTCCTCTCCTCTCCTCTCCTCTCC